AGAGAAGGAAATCTCCAATTACTTTAAATAATTACTAAACAGGAGGGAATGGAAAGTATTTGGGAATATGTATCAAATATTTGACTATTTTCTCATTTCAGTTTGTATATATTTTAATTGTTCTTTCTCTCATTAAAGATTCCAGTGCTGAATATTCAAATGAAAATTTTTCCTGCACTTTGTACTGTAGCAGGGACCATATTTTCCTGTACAAATTACTTCCGTGTAATCTTCACAGGTGGTGTTGGCAAAAATGGATCAACCATAGCAGTGAGTATATATATCTTAAGATTTTCAGTAATTGTTTACACTAGGATTTAGTGTTGTGTTCACTTTGTTTTTCATTTGAAATCGATAAAATCATCTGTTAATTTAGAATTTCTATTTAGTCTTAAAAACTAAAATTTCTTCTCAGTTTTATATATCCTTGCATACATTTATATGCTTATGTCTCCATACTTTTGTGTATACACATACACACTGTTACAAGTAAATGTAAAAATGAGCCTTTGTGTATAATAACTGTATAATAAGAAAAATGCAGTTTGTTCCTATCCAATTCATGCCCTTCCTTTTTATTAGCTATTCCAGTGTTTGGTTTATAGAAATTGCTGGCTATCAGGTGCCATGAGGTTCTTGCAAGCTTGAGTTGAATTATTTTTAAAGCAGTTCCATGTAGTATCTGATGATTACTGAATACTCTTAACTCTTCTCTTCATTTTGTGCAGGGAACAAGTGTCCTTTCTCCTTTTCTCCATATTGGATCAGTGATTACATTAGCTGCAATGATCTACAAGAAATCAGCAGTTCAGCTTTTTGAAAAGCATCCCTGTCTTTATATACTGACATTTGGTTTTGTATCTGCTAAAATCACTAATAAGCTTGTGGTAAGCACCTAAGTTTTCGTTTTTCTCTTTCATCTTATCTTGGTTTTACAGGCATAGTTTTCATTCTGTAGCTTCCTAAGCAGTCCTAGAATTTGCTCTTCTCCAATCACAATGTCTTAAAATCAACATAGGAGCTGTTTTTACTATTTTATGAAGCTGCAGTTTGAGGTTATCAGAAATTCTTTGAACCTTCTTAACTTTTCACTCTTTTAGCCATTGTTTAATTTGGCAGTTCAGTTTGTCTATACTCTTGAGTCTGTCTGGACATTCATTCAATGTAGTATTCCATGAGAAAAGCATCTTTTGTAGGTTAAATAATTTTTGAGACTTGATATTTGAATACAATACTGATCTACTGTGTAGCTCAGAATTGCTGTAATATGAAGATGCCTATACCATTTATTCTCTTTTATTCTTAGGTTGCACACATGACGAAAAGTGAAATGCATTTGCATGACACAGCATTCATAGGTCCAGCACTTTTGTTTCTGGACCAGTATTTTAACAGCTTTATTGATGAATATATTGTACTTTGGATTGCCCTGGTAGGTATTGTACCGTATCTTATTTCATGATTTGGAGGCTACTTATTTTTTGTTTCATTGGCTCAGTCCTAATAGATCAAATAATTGTAATGTTTTAAAATGTCAGAAATTGGTATGTGGGGCTTTGTGAGAGTTCCTTGTGGTTTTATTCTTATTAGGCTTGGCTACATGAGTAGCTCATGAATTCCAGATTTCTAATTGTATAAAGCATGAGTCAGCAAACTATTACTATACCCTGTGGGCCCATAGCCTATTTTGGTAAGTAAAGTTTTAGTGGAATAGCCCTGGCCATTCATTTATGTATTGTCTGTGGCTCCTTTCACACTACAATGGCAGAGTTGAGCAGTAAATGACAGAGTTGAGGACAGTAAATATTTTAAGCTTTGTGGACCATACTTTTTAATACTGTCTTAGAAAGTATGGTCCACAAAGCTTAAAAGATTTACTATCTGTCTAAGAAAGAGTTTGTTGATCTTTAGTGTAAAAAAATTGAAGGTAAGTCTGGAGAGAAGAAAGCCAGAGGCCACTCCTCTTTCTTTCATTAAGCTTAGGGAGAGCATAAGCAACTGCTAAGAATGTAATAGTCTCGCGTTTTCTTGTTTCATTGGTCTTGTCTTTTCTTTCCAGGTCTTCTCTTTCTTTGATTTGATCCGCTATTGTGTCAGTGTTTGCAATCAGATCGCATCTCACTTGCACATACATGTCTTCAGAATCAAGGTCTCTACAGCTCATTCTAATCATCATTAATGATGTAATTGGTGTTGTATAGGAAACTTGTGTTTTCTGCAGGAAGGAATCTGAACACATTGAGAATGGGGGTGGATAAGAACAAATATAATTTATAATAATCAATGTTGTATAACTTTTATTCTTTATTATTGGTAACACTCCCTACCTATTCTGTGTGAGAACGAGAATTTCAAGTCCCATCCTGTAAATTGTATGTGTCGTTGTACAGGGTTTGGGCCAAGAAAGCATGCAGGAGAAAGATGCCATGTGTTTGTAATTATCCTGGATTCAGAATAATATTGTCATGGGGAGCTGATCCCCAGTGGTGGAGATTTCTGATGTAGACTTTTTGCAGGCCAAAAGATGGTTGCTTTATAATTTTAACAAATCATCATCTTTTAGTAACATCCTTGTTTAGTGTCTTCTCAAGCTTTTTTTTACTAAGGAGCTCAGCACAGATACATCCCACTTGCTTGTGAGGTGGAACTAGTGATAAAGACCTTGAAATTGGATTGAAAGGTGTCCTTTCTTTACATTGTTGAAGAAGTCTTTTTTTATTGCTCAAGAAATGGTATCTCTCTTGGGCTTGGGAAATCCTGTAAGCATGCAAAATAATGTGGTAACTTTGTTGATCCATTTTATTTTTTTAAATAAACATATGATCTGAAAACCAGCTTTTTCATCAATTTTATTCAGTGAAAAAATCAGCGAAGTTTTAATGTCATTCTTAAAAATTCAAGATAATTTATTTCTGCTCTTTAATAAATAAGGAAATCCAGTTGGCCACATTGTAATGTGTCCTGTGACCTTTCTGTTTTGTAGAAACTTTTAAAAAAGAAACTATGTTCACTTTCCCTATAGATGGATTTTTTATGACCTAGTTTTATGTCATAATCACCTATGCAATTGCCAGTCATTTAGGAATCTCAAACCCTTCCCATAAATTCTTAGTAAGTGCTTGGGCTTCTCCAAGGAATCACTTTATACTCTCTGTTTCTGGCACTCTACCTTTTGGTATCTATACTACAGTTTGAAATGAGAGCCAGATTGTATACAAATTGGCTAAAGTGAACTATCTTATAATTTACTTTTATTTATACCCTGTTCCATAATCAGGAATAAACAAACAGTAGCTGCACTGCCTCACCTGACAGCCAGAGCCCTGCTTTCTTCTATTTTTAATCCCATGTAGATAAGGATTAGCAAAGAGAGTTAAGCCTTTACATTTTTTGCTAGACTGTAGCAGGAAAGGGAAATCTCTCATTAACCTTCTTGCTAGAGATTTCTCCAACATCTGGGATAGAGAAACATATGTATATAGGAAAATGCTAGGACAGATAAAGTTCTGAAAGCTAGAACAAAAAAGGAAGGATAATTGCACTTGTTTGGCACAGTCACATCTATTGTCTTATTGACACTGCAGGTGTTAAGAATAATTTACGGTGGAAACTGAGGCCTGGAGAGGATAAATGGCATACCATTGTCACTTGCTATTTTTCAGAGACTAGAATCCAGATCTTCTTAATCCTAGTGTAGTGTTATCCTACACTATACCAGGCATAAACCTTCATGTTGAGGGCTAACTGAAATGTGTGTATTCTCCTAGAACAGCGGTTCTCAACCTGTGTGTCGCGACTGACAGGAACTGTATTAAAGGGCTACGGCATTAGGAAGGTTGAGAACCACTGCTTCCTTCAGTCCTAGATCGTCAGCAGCAGGCAGTAAACCTCAGCTGGCCCTGATTGTTCATATACCTGGTTGGGGATCAAAATCAGCTGATGAAGCTTTTTAAAAAATACAGATTCCCAGGTCACATCTCTAGAAATGATTTGGTGGGTTTGGAATGGCACCTCAGAATTTTCATAAGATTTCGAGGATTCTGGTTCCTGTTCTGAAGCCTTTTGAGATACAGCTAGCTTTAGGAACCACTGCCATAGCTACAAAAAAGATGTAATTCTTTACAAACTATGAAGAATTGCAGTATGGACTCCACATAGTGGGAGCCAAAGACACACATCTGCTGCATGTACTCTGTCTCTGCACTCCCAAAAGCAAATTGTGCAGGCTTTAACTTCAGTTTGGTGGCCCCTGCTCTTCTTTCATCCTCCAGAAACTTTTGTGTTCTTTGTATAGAATTTAGGGACTTCTGAGGGCCACACTCAACATACATTAAAAAAAAAAAAAAAGGTGGAACTTGGAAAGACAAGATGCTTCTAAAAGAGTTCCCCAATACTTGAACAGATGTCACTAGAGGTATAGAGGGAGGAGAGGCTAGGTGACCACTCATCTCCATTAGACTCTTATGATTATGATTTTCTTTTCTCAAAGGGGAGAACTGTCAATGCCAGGGGCCCCTCCACCTTTAGCTAAAGAGTCGAACTGTGCTTCTCAAAATAAAGACCTATTAGAGGTGGAAAGTCTAAGACTGAAGGTAAAAGACTACTGCAGACAACTCGACTGGCAAACAGACCTTAGAGAAACCATGTAATGTTCTTCACTGGCTTCTGTTGACTGACATTCCTACCCTCAAGTTACCCTAGACTGCAGCTGCTTCCCTCTGACCGGCAGCCTCTCCTCCCAGCGTTCTGTAAGCATACCTGATTAAACCAGGGACTCTGCTGCCCAGTGTCTAGTGCTGTTGCTGCCTTTACCAGTATCTCTTACCCTTCCTGTTAGAAGTGGAGCTGCTAATCTCTATGATTCTACCACTCTAAACACAACTTTGGGTTCAGGGCCACCATGACCAGGGCATCCACTTGTAGTCCACTCTATTCTCACATTTATTGCCTCATTTTCCTAGTTCTCCCCCCATAGTGGAAGCCAAAGACACACACATAAGTAATAAGATTTTCTTCTTTACTGTCATCCTTATATGTCCACAGACCTTTTTCTATGTGGAGGGGCTAAGCCTCTGGGCCACAACTCTGTTCTCTATTGAAGATGTAATAGTGAGAGAGCAGTTGTGATGACTTCTAACCAAGCGTCTGTAATACCTGCACTATTTCCTACTCTCTGTCACCCCTGCAAAAAATACAGCTCTGGGCCCAGTTCTGTGGGCATGGAGTCAGAGCCCTGTAAAGACTTGAAAAAGCCAATACCAGGGATACGAAATTCAGACACCAGTTTGCAGTGAGGCCTGGATGGTGGACTCCAAAAGATGCTATGGATTCTGGGGGCTGAGGGCTTCCCTGATCCTACCATTCTGGTAGGGGCTCAAGTCCAAAACTGGCCTGCAGGTGTAGTCTCTCCTGTTCACCACAACTGTTATTTCACAGACTTTTCTCTGGGTTTCTTCTGTTTCTTCTGTTCTTCATATTCAAGTATTTTCTGTTGGAAATAGCCTGTGGGTTCAGATACAGGTGTTAAAGATATCTAATCTGGTCAAGCAGACTATGATGAGCAGGAAAACAGACTAGAATTATCCTCTGCTCCCCATGCTCCCCTCCCACCCCCAGTCCTGCCCAACACACACACACACACACACATGCTCCCTTCCTTGCCATGATGCCCACGCCATCATAGACTTCTGGAGATCCAGGTATTAGGATTGGCTCAAAAAAGGAGCCCACAAAGGGTAATCAGCAGGAATTTTCTTTATAACAAAGTCAAAAGGGTTAGTCCTGCTGGCTGATAAATAGAGCAACTGCTACAAAATGTCAGCCTAAGAGACACTTTCTTAGCCTTCATAATACTTCATTCTAACCCATTAATAGAATTACAGTTATTTTGTGAGCTTTGAAAGAAATGCTCTTTCCTTCCTTCCTCTTCATCCTAGAGGTAACTTGCTCTGAGCTTAGAATGATGGGGGATGTTGCTATACCTGCGGGAGGATTCTTGCTCTTCTCAGCTTCCTGGATGAAAAGGGAGAAGAGCTGTGTCTTCACAAACTTCTTCACAAATCGACGGTTGGTCTTAGAGGTCAGAGCCTTACAGAAGGACCGTTCCTGGAAGTGGCCTTGCCCATTTGCCTCCCGCTTGATATAGGAAGCATAGTGGCCCACAATTTTGACAAAGAACTTTACAAAAGGGCCTGAAACATGCTCATTGATTTCTTCTAAAGCTGCAGGGGACAATATAAAAAACATCTCAGAGGGTAGCAGAAGGATGCAACCACCCTAACTCACCTCCAAGTATGGCTTTCGTTCATTGTGAGCTGAAAGCTCCTGGGGGAAGCTATACGGTAGGGTTCATAATTACTGACTGGTTGCAATGGGAGCCTGGTTATGGGTCCTCTGCCATTGCTTAGAAAGAGTAAAATCACATGTTTTGACTTTCCCTGGGATGTAGGCCTCTGGGGATAGCCTAGGATTGCTGAGCAAGTTCATTTTAGTTCTGGAAGGAAATGGTTGAGAATTATACTCCTGATCTCCCTGGAGTAACCCTAAGTAAGAGGGGCCTAGCACTTACTCTGTAATTCATCAATTCCCTGATTAAGAGAGCCTAAGATGTCTTCCTGAAGCTTCGGTGGAAGGATGTCTTTTTCATCACCGACCTAGGAGAGGACAGAGCTCAGTGGTCAAGCAATCAGGAAGGAGGTATAGAGTTCAGGAGTTGGCAGAAGAGCATGAGGAGACATGAATTTTACACCCCACTCCACCCAAAATAATGGGCCACATAGTAGAGAAACAATAGAAGCTTGGTCTTTGGTTCGACTCTAAACATTAGCAAGGGATCCTCTTGATCCCTGTGGTACTTGGTTTACATCTCCTGCTCGAAAGGCACTAACACTAAAGGCCATGTAGTAAAGTCATCTGTATGGCTCATTGAAAAGAAGAGAGAGCTTGTTAACCTGGGTTCTCAATAAAAGTACTTAATGTTTGCTGATATAAATGGAGCATTATGAAACTAAGGTGGAGGGCCTTCAGCGGATACTTACCGACATTAAAAAGCTTCCTTCACAAAGATTCACCAACAGGACCTGAAATAAAGATAAAAGGGCTTTCTTTCCCTTTCTTTTCTTTTTTCTTTTTTGAGACAGAGCCTCAAGCTGTTGCCCTGGGCAGAGTGCCATGGCATCACAGCTCACAGCAACCTCAAATTCTTGGGGTTAAGTGATTCTCTTGTCTCAGCCTCCCAAGTAGCTATGCCTTGGGACTACAGGCACCCGCCACAACTCCTGGCTATTTTTTTTTTCCAGTTGCGATTGTCATTATTGTTTAACAGGCCCAGGCTGGATTTGAACCCACCAGCTCCTATATATGTGGCTGGCGCCCTAGCCGCTTGAGCGACAGGCACCGAGCCCTCTTTTCCTTTCTTCATAGACTTCAGGAGGACTTACCATCTCCATTCTCCCTGTGGCTATACCTTTCAGCCCAGGGAGCAAGAAAATCAACATCCCCTCTCACTTCCTCTCTGGCATTCTTTTTCCTCACTTAGCTCCCTTCCTGGGGAAAGGGTGTGGGTGTGTATAAGAGGGGATAGGATAAAAAGCTAATGTGAAAGGGGAATATAGCATGGGAAATCTCAGCCAGCCACTCCCTTAATAAAACACTGATTGCAGAAATTGCTTCTATATATGGAGCATTTAGTACAAGGCTCAGATAAGTGCTTTACACATTTTATCTCACTTAATCCTTGCACCAGTCCCATGAGGCAGACACTATCTCCATTTTGCAGATGAGAAAACAAATCCAAAGAAATTAAGTTGCCTGAGATCAGACTGTTAACAAATAAGACCAGTTCATTCCCAAACCTAGATGGGGATTGCATTCCTCTCCCAACATCCCCCCTTCAACTCTCTGTCATCTAGGACAGAGACTGACATCTTTTGATTTTCTTTATGCTTGCAGCTATTTTGTGTACAATTGCCTGGAATTCTGTGTCAGAGCTTTGGGCTTCCAGCAAGAAACTTAGCAAGGAAGGAAATGAGCCCAGGGTCAGCAAGGGGGAAGGAAAGGAAGTGAAGAGACAGACCACATGTCTCCAGGCTACAGGTGAGATAAGCACAGGGCTAGAACTTGGAGGACCCAAGTTCTAGTATCAGCTCCATCTCGGCCTGTGGGGCCATCAATCTAGACCAGAGATTGCAAACAGGCATCCTGCTTATTCATTTCAACCAGCAGATCTACTCTTTGATCTTCAGAGTGTTTTACAATAATGGGATTTGTTTCCAGTGTTTAAATTGGAATATTTCACTTACAGCTTGGACTTTTGCCAGCCTGAGTAACATAATGAGACCCCCATCTCTATAAAAAATAGAAAACTGAGTCAGGCATGCTAGTGGGTGCCTGTAGTCCCAGCTACTTGGAAGGCTGAAGCAAGAGGATCCCTTAAAGCAGGAATTAGAGGCTGCAGTGAGCTATGACCACACTGCTGCACTCCAGCCCCAGCAACAGAGCAAGACCCTATTTCAAAAAAAAAAAAAAAAATTAGATTTTTGGCTTCTGAAAAGTCAGAGCTCTAACACTGGTCCCCATTTCTAAAGGGCAACATTCAGACAGAACTGTGCTCACCAGTTTACCATAATCTTCTCCAAACCCAGTGTCGGTCACTTAAATGCCTGTTGGTCCTCTTTTCAGTTTGTGACCCTTGGTGTTGACAGTAGGTTGAACAAACTCTCCATGTTCCCTTCTTACAATTACAAGAAAAGAAAGGGACTAGGAAGTATGCCAAAAATCAGAGTGTGCACTGTAATTATCCATCACTAGAGAAGGAAAATTGGACTAGTCCAGGCCTGAAAGAACTTGTATACACAGGCTCAGATACCTTCATGTAGGAAAGGCTGTTCATTTTAGGGGCTGAGAGGAAAGAGCATGAGTGAAGACTTTTCTTTTTCAAGATTGTTTCCAGTATTGGGACATATTACTGTCCATTGAATAATCCCTTCAGGAGAGCTTAAATGGGAAGTCAGGGGATTCCCCCCAACACCTCCCCTGCTCCACGTGCTCACCTCCCTTCCTTTTCACAGAGTAGTTGCTGAGGAATAAAACAAGCTAAGGGTCTTAGATAGAATGAGCTGGAGTCTGACTGGCCCTTGGGGGAAGAGCCACAGCTTCTGAGGAGCTGGAGCTGCAGAGTCAGGAAGTTTCATAACTTCTGGGGCTGGGCCATTTTAAATTTTATTGCTAAACACAGGACTCATGCTCTGTCCCAGTTAGTCACAAGGCTAATGCTGGTTCAAAGGGCATGTGTACTCAGCAGTCCTGAGGAAGGGTGTAAGGCCTGGGGAGGCAAAGAAAGGAAACACAGCCTGCTTATTTCCCTGCTATCCTTTCTATAGGAAGGGGTTAAGTTCCACCTGTACTAGGTTCCACTATAGTCCATGTGGCTTCTGATAAGTCATTTAAGTTCCCTGGACCTCACTTATCTCTTATGTAAAATGGGGCTGGCCTCGTGCCTCTTTATAGCTTTCTTCTGGGATTGGAAGGCCCTTTGCCTGCACAGAGTGAGTCACTGGCAAGCCAGAGCACACATGCACAGGTGCCTCTTCTGGCTTAAGATATAGCAACATGCTATCCTTTCAAAGTTCACACTGACCACTGAAAGCAGAGCATATATTTGGGGTTGTTGTCCCACATAGGGGATAGATTTTATGCTGTTAATGCCCACATCCACACCTGAGCCCTCTGGTATGTTTGGGACCTGCCAAGAAATAAGAAGCTAATAAAATCAAAGGGGATTGGTTCCTACATCCTCTCTAGCCAACAGCACTGAGCTACTCAGAAAGATGGCTTTTCCTACAAAAATCTGCATTTTCAAGACTCACAGTTTGCGGGAAGATTATGTTTGCTCACTTACATGGAATCTGAACAAATTCCAGTGGGGTGTGTGTTGTACAGACCAGCTGTGTCATCCATCTGGGTGAGATGGGACACCCTAGACTCTAGGGCCTAGAGACTGCTCATTAGGGCCAGCTGGCGGAGAACAAGCTGATGACCCTTGAATAAGCCAGATGCTGCCTTTAAGTCTAAAAGGGAAGCCCTCTGGAAAAGACAGCCAGCATTTGCAGAGCACTGTGTGTCAGGCATCAGGGTAGGGACATTATGCAAGTTACTTCCCCTCTCCCTCTAAGAACTGCACATTGTTATTCCCATTTTACAAATGAGGAAGTTCAGGCTTCACAAGATTAAGTAACTTGCCCTTAATCACACAGCTGCTAACAGCAGAGCTGGGATCCCAATCCCCGTCTGCCTGACTCCCAATCATGCGCTCTTCCTGCCATGTCATACCTCTTCCATGGGGCTGTCCATGACTTCCTGCAAAAAGCGCATTTGTACCCCAACCATGAAGGGAGTGGGGCAGCAGACAGTGGCCAGAAGGCTCTCAGGGACGACTGGGATGTAGGTGTGTGCCCAGCTGAAGGGGTAGAGCAGCGCGGCGGCAGCATGGATGCATTGAGACAGGGTGCTGGGACAGAGCAGAGAGAACAAGAGTCAGAGGGGCCCCACACCTCTACCCCATATACACTTGCAGCCCACTATCAACCGCACCACTGAGGTGCTGCCTGTGCTCCTGCAAAAAGGCAAGTCTGGGTGCCACAGTGGTCACAGAGTTTGTGAGTGCAGTGTTGCTAAGAGGGAGGGACAGAAACCAGGAGAGGCTGGGACTCCACTGATGAAGACAGACATCTCTATTTGATCATTCTTTTCCCAATGAGGTTTCCTCAACTCACTGTTGGCCAAAAATAAAAGTGACTCCAAAGAGAAAGGAAAGAAGTGTTCCCATCATTCAAGCAGACTAGGGATTGAGCCCTGACTATGTGCTCAGAGCTGTGCTAAGGACCTGGGCACCAGGAAGAGTGAGACTGAGCCTATTTTTAAAGAACTCACAATGCAGTGATGAGGCAAATGTGTAAACGTGGGGGGCTCTGTGGAGAGGCAATGCCTTTTTTTCCTCTATGTCTAGGCAACCTAATCCCCAATATTTAACTCACATGGCTCCCTCTGGCCACTCAAGGTTATTAAAGGTTACCAGGTTGGTGCCTGCATTAGCCTGGGAAATTCCAAGCTTCCAGGAACCTCTGCCCACAATTCCTAGATGGAAAGTCCCACAGAGGTGGCTCCTCCAGCCTTTCCAGTGAAACATTCCTTGTGTCATTCCTGCCCAAGTCACAACAACTCAGACTCCACTCCTCACCCTACCTCACACGCACCCCTCACTCTGTCTTCTCTCTTCTCCACTGGCTTTCCTGGCTCTTCATGTCTCCAGCCAAATTGCCCCAAAGCCAAGGCCAACAAAAACAAATGCAGGAATCCTTGTTTCAATTCTTGGTATCAAGCTAGCACTTCCTGAGTTAGCAACTTTGTCTCTGAGAGTCTGGCCAAGGCTTATACTGCCTGGAAGTCCCCACCCTACGTGAGTTTCAGGGATCTGAAAAACTCAGCGCGGGAAGGAAGTAAGGAGTGGTGAGATTTCTCTGGAGAAAGTTAGTGCCTGAGAGGTGAATCCTACCATCCTTTACTTCCCATAAACTGATCTGAGGGGAAAGGGGAAAGGTTCAGAACCTAGCCACGTGGAAACTTCTGGTTTCCATACAGAGCTGGAAGTGGATGAACTATTTCCAAAGCAAAAGATTATGCCACTCCCCTCAAGGATTGGTCTATAACTTGTTCCTCTTTGGTTAGCACTTATTTTTATAGAATTTTCAACACACAGACCTTACTCCCTGCCATGGTTCCTTTCCTCTAAAACCCATGACATTCACCTGACCCTCTGCCTTCTGTTATTTGAATCCCTATTAACATCTTTTTTTTTCTCCATTTGTTTTTCTTCTGCCTTCCATCACATCTCCCAGGTCTCCCTCAGACTTGAAGCCCATCAGAGTTAGGGACCAAAACATGACAGTACCCTGCTTCAAGTCTACATAGCAGTATACTCAACTATGGAGTTATTAAGAATTGCAGCGAGCACTTACAATATGCCTGGCCGCATGCTAGGCATCTGATGGGCATTATTTCTTTTAATCCTCACCATGACTTTATGAGTTAAGTCCAATAGTTATTTCCATTTTAAAGATAAGGAGATCATGACTCCAAGAAGTTAAGAAACTAACCTAAGGGAAGCCTCATAGCTAAAAGTGGAAGAACAGGATTTAACCTCATTCTGCTGCTGTCAGTGCTTCTGAACCACTATATAATTTTGCGTCACCTTAAGTAAGGTCAAGGACCCTTGCTTTGTTTGTATCTTCCTAAGTCTTGGCATCTGGCAAACAGTTGATACATAATAAATATTTGTTGAATGAGTGAATAAATGGATAGATGGGCCTCACCTCCATGCTATTACCCGCCTTCCTGCCCAGTTCTCCACCCTCCCTTCCTCCCTCAGCCACCCAAAGGCAGAATGTCAGCATCCACCCTAACTGGCCTGCCTGAGCCGTCTTTCCTGCCCTTCTCACACTAAGTCAGGAACCATCTTAGGGCCCAAGCAGCAGTCTGGTGGCAGGGGAGGCTGTTTCTTTAGGCTTAAAGTGCAAATCAAGGAGCTGCAAGGATAAGGGTGAGCATGTGGGCCCACAGCCCGATTTCCTTGGGGAACCTGTTTCCTCCTCAGGGAGTTCAGGTGAGCCGACCAGTTCAGGTGAGCTGTTCAGCAGCTGGGCCCACCTGAGACCTTCTGCCAAGAAGATAATTTTTCTCTCCAGTACTGCAGAGGCAAAGATCTGAAGTATCTGTTCACAACTGAGACAGTGCAACAGAGAACTAAAATCCACATGTTCTAGGTGGGAGTCCAGAGGTCGTGTCAACGAAATGAACTGTGGGGAAACCAGAGAGAGAGAGGATGTCACCACACAGCAAGATCACACGGACCCAGGAGTGCTGGGCCTCTACCAGCCTCTATTCCTTCTCTCCACAGGAGTGAATCTCATCCTCTCTCTCTCCCTTGCTAAAACACCATGGATGGCTTTTCTCTACTCCAGGACAGCACGGGATGGGTGTAATCTTGAACATGGCTCACATACAGGTCTGCCCCTTCCCTCACTCACCTCCCTGAGTACACTCCCCTCTCTCACCAAGCTTCTCCACAGCCAGTTCCAGTCCCTAGAGCAATCTCCTCTTTCCTCCAGCAGCAACTCTCAGGTTGGGCTCCCACTCCCCCGTGCTCTGCTTCTTTCATTCTTATCCTCTTTGAGGTCCCAGAAGGACCCCTTGGCCATCTAATACTTTACATCTAATCTTTTACTCGTGTAGCACCCTGGCTTTTCTTTCACTGCAGTTACGTAATTCATAATTACGTATGTCCTGGTGTGTTTACCTAGTTAATGTCTACTTTTACCACTGGACTTTTAGGCCCATGAGGTCAGGGACTGCATTCATTTTGGACACCACTGCATACCCATGAAATAGTATAACTCGGCACACAGCAAGTATCTGGTACATATTTTTTAAGTAAATGAAAACTTCTAGCTCATCCTCTTATTTTCCTGTGGGGAAACCAAGGTTTTGAGGAGTGCACAGATCATTCAGAGTTTCTGGCTCAGGAACTCTGAGTTCTGCAGTTTGTAGAGCAATGTTCCATTTGCCACCTCAGTCATCTTGGTGCCTTAAAAAATAGCCTTCCCCTGTGGCTTAGGTGGGGACTCAGGGTGGAGATAGATGATAAGATATAGATGGAGGCTGTAAGATAGAGACAGAGGACAGGTACAGGAGAATAAGGGTGAGTGTAGGGGCAAGGGACAGTTTGGGTACTGGGGGCAATGTCTTTTCTAGCAACAAAAGCCTGAATTTACCTGGTTTATTTACTATAAATAGAAGCCAAGGTGGCTTGAGCAGTAACGTGCTTGGGAGCACTGGGTTAGAAGGATCAGAAAATGGGGTTTGATTTCCTACTCTGCCAACCATTCTAACCAAGCCCAGCCCACCTGCTCAGTTTCCCTGAGCACTTTAACCTGGTGAAAAGAACAGCTACAGAAGCCCTCCCTCTCCATCCAGAGAGGGGCTTGCCCTTTTTGCTAACCCACCTCAGTGCCAGAGTCCGGGATGAAGCTCTTGAGGGTGACAGTCTTCCCAGGAGCAGGGAAGGCTGCCTCTCGGAGGCCCTGCATGAACGGGTAGATGACAGCCATGGAGATCTGATGCCTCTTCTCCACTTCATCCAGGATCTGAAGGGGAAAGGACCACAGGAGGCATGGCTCAAAGGGACACTACCAGCCAAGTGGCAGAGACCCCATTGGCCTCCAAGCATTGTAAGATTATCACACAGGTTCAGCTAATCTTCAAGGGCCTTCTAGGCTCCTCTATCAACTGGCCCTTTCCCTCCCAGGTCTCACGGGTTCTCACACTAAATAATCTGCTGTTTATCTCCTGCATGAGAACTGCTTTTTCCTGGCATTATTCTTTTCATTATCTCTCTACTAATCCACCTCACCAACGAAGTCTCCCCCGGGGAACACATCATCCATGATGGTTAAAAGTTCATTCATGCTGGTTGAAGTGGGAGCTCAGAAGCCAAAGAAAGCCTCTTGGCATCACTCTGTCCTCCAACTGCCACTGGAGACTCCCAGGGCCAGGGACAGCCTCCCGCCTCCAAACACTGCTCTGCCCAAGCAAAGGCTGACCGTTTCCTCCCTTCCTCCTCCAAGGGTCCTGCCAGAGGCACAGCACAACGAAGCCCCTTCTGGTCAACAAGGCAGGCCCCATCTATGCTCTCAGGTCCTGACTCTGGTGTGCTGGAACTCAAATTAGCTCCAGCAGAAGTACTGGGGACCTCAAAGGAGTCAGCAGGAGTTTTGGGGCCCCTCTTGTCTGCATGTTGTTTAGTGCTCTGCCTTTTATAAAGAGATTTCTAACGTATCACTTCATTTGAGCCTCACACCAGCCTGTGAGGTAGGAAGGTAAGAGGGGTCATTATATCCACTTGGCAGATGAGGAAACCGAAACTCAGCAGACTCCTGTGGCCCTTCCCCATGTCCCACTTGAATGCCTTGTCCCTTGGCTACAGTAGGAACAGTGGCTCTCTCTGCAAGGGATCCAGTCCCCTAGAGTCCGTTTCTACTTTTCCCTAAAATCAAGTCAAGCCCAAGTCCTTCTTTGCCTCACTTTCCCCAAGTGTGCCTCAGTGCCAACTCTGGCTATAGGGGAAGAGCAACACTAAAGACTCAGGTTACACAGGCAGGGCATGCAGCCAGGCAAAGCCCAGAAGCTGAACAGGCTGAGCAGGCCCTGAGGAATCCTGCTCCACCCTTACCTTGGAGAACAAGCCGAAGCAGCCGATGCAGCTGATGATGCAGTACACTTTGGGAAGTCGAGGGCCAGGGCCAGCTGGCTGGGGAGGGGCAGAGATGCACCTTCAGTGCTGCAGCCTCCCTGGGGACTTCTCCCAGTGGGGGCTGGTGGGGCAAAAGCCTGGGGGCTGGGAGTCATACAGTGAATGGAAGGGCCAGATGGAAAATGCCTGGCTGACCAAAGGCTCTGTTCACAGGACAGGCCACAGGGAGTTCAGAGGGGGAACCAAGATCAAAAGAAGAGGGCTGAAGGGCCCTGAGTGGGCTCAGGGGCAGGCACTGCCGCTTTCAGTGCCACCATGATTTAGTGTCGGCAGAGAGAGAAACAAGTGTGTCTTACAGATGAAGAAACAGCTAGGGAGGAGATCACTATAAAAGGAACTTGGAGAATCCTCTTGAGATCTAAGATTTGAACATAATTGTCCAAATCTCAGTCTGGGAGATTCCAGGGGCCAATGCAGCAGGCCTGATAGACAAGGCAGCGGGAGAAGTCAGTTGGCGCTTCCCACGGGGAGGAGAGCTATTGAAAGCTGGGGAGGGCACATGGCCAGCATAGGTCCCACAGGCAGGTGAGGAGGGGCACCGGTCAGGTCTTTGTTCTTTCGGGGTTGCAGAGGGGGCACTAACATGGCAGCAGGTGCAGGGCTGTGCTCTCTACAAACACCACTGCCAAGGAGCCAGGGCTTTTGCAGCAGAGGACTGAGCAAGCCCAGCTGTGGGGCTAAACAGGCTGCAGAGAGGAAGGGGCAGTTCCAAGCTGCACAGACCAAGAGGCGCCTGCAGTATCCAATCTTTCTGCTTCCATCCACATTGGTCAGAACGAAGGAGAATGTCTCCCTAAGAAAAAGCAGACAAGGCTTGGTTTGCATTTGCTCACTGGATTCTAAAATAGGAAGCCAGTCAGCATCAGAGTGGTAGAGAGGAGAGCAAAGGGGAGCTGATTAATCACACTAGTAAACACCAGTAATTTACGAAGTGCCTTTTGGTGTCAAGCCCTAAATGCATCATCTCATTTAATTCTCAGAGCAACTCTTTGAGGTAAGTTCAATTATAATCCCCACTTTAAAGATGAAAGGACTGAGGGTGTTTCTTATCCAACGTCATGCAACTCATAAATGATAAAGCCAAAATTCAAACTCAGGCAGTCAAGTTCCAGTGCTCATGCTGTAGGGCCTTTGCCATACTGCCTTCTGCCAAGTCCGGCCTCTGCCAATGGCAGAGTCAAAAGCACTGACTATGCCTCCTGGGACAGGTGAGACAATCTCACCCTTTTTTTGGACAGAGATGACTGATTACACTGAAAGCTAATATCCTTAGCCTTGAGAAACCCCAGGAAAGATGTTTATAAATTGAATCAACTCCACTCCCTGGCAGGAAATTAGTATGTGCAGCAGATAAGGGGGCCACAGGAGCCCTGTCCCTTCTCCTGTAGTCAGATACTCTTGTCCTAAGGCTGAGCAATTACCTGGGGTACTCGGTAAGAGGTGCCCACTCATTGCCATCTGGGAAACAGAACAAGGGGATGGCTTTAAGCAACCTTTCCTCCTCCTCCTGCTGGCCTCGAAGCAGGTTTTCTCGCTATAAGGAAAAGAAAAAGAGACAAGTGAATTGAGGTGGTGGGGGGAAGAGAAGAAAGGGAGGGCTAGAGGCAGGCTTCTTTTGAAAGCAATCTAAGCTTCTTCACTGGGTATGAGGGCCAATGGATGTCTTTGCCTGTCATTCTGAGCAGTCTGCATTCTGGGTCTGGCTAGAACCATCCCAAAGCTGTGACATCCACCCCAGGGGAAAGTTGACATGAACTTGGGTCAGAATTCAATATCCTGAGACTCTACATAGGAAGGGAGTCAGGGCCACACTGAATACAGAAAGGCCTGAGATGGCCCAGCCTCTAGGAAGATGATGTCAGAGAGAAGCCACATTAGAGGCCAGCTCAGTTGCTGCACCTGCTAATGAGAGGGGTTAACAAGAAAGTTGCTTCATTCTACCCCCCCACCTGGTGGTGCAAGACAAGACAAGAAGGAGTGTGATGCTTGGGCTGGGCCGAAGTGCTGTGCCTACCCATCAGCTCTGTGCCTGCCCCACCCTTTCCTTGTCACATACCCCACAGAGGGGACTCCCTCTAGAAGGTCTGGCAGAAGGCAGAAGGTAAGTGCATCTCTAAGGACAAGGGTGACTAAACATGGAATTTGGGAGAAGAGGAGTTCCCAAAGGGGGCAAAAGGACTAGCCTATTTTCTCTGCTACCAAGCCTAGGTCAGTCCCTCACAAAGAAGTCAGACCCAGATTCTGGAGATGATAACAACAGAAAACTAGAGCTGAACTAAAAAGGAACTGGAGAGCACTGAGCCCAAGCTCAAGGCAGCTCCAGACTCCAGCCCTGGGAGGGTGGGAGAAGGAACTGGAACCCCACCACCACCACCTTTCAAACACCCCAATCCTCTGTCTCCCCTTGCCCGGGTCCTTACCTTGGGAAACTGGTAGGTGATTGTAGGCTCATAGTCATTCCCTAAACGCTTTTTTTTGAGAGAAACCACAAGAAGGTATTCAAAGAAGTGCTGCCCTCCAGCAAAGCTGAGCAGAGAGCCCTCCTGGGCCCTTTCTGGTTCCTTTATAGCTTCCCCCGCATTGTCCTGTGGAGGTCCTGCAACCAAGACACCAGGGCCATTCAGAATCTCAATGATCCATTCCCGGAGTGGAGTCTGTAAGAATCAAGGTGACCTCCATGCCGGGTATCTGGAGTCCGGCCAGCACCACTGGTCACAGAATAGGATCAGAGCCAACTGGGCAGTTTCCACACCTGGCCTGGGAGACTTGAAACTCCTGGGGTTTCAAGGGGATGCAAGTGTGGAAAGAAAGAAACCATTGATGTGGAAGCCAAGGAAATGTACTGGAGAGGCCACGTGGAGGCCCTAGGCCCGGGGAACCATAGAGACTCGGCCTACATGTAGGGTGTCCAGGGCAGGCCCAGAATAGTATGCCCTGAGAGTAAACTCATATTAAGTAAATCAGAGAAGGTCCAACAGGTGTGGGACTGTGACCACTCCAAACCCGCAGAGGGCATGAGCAAGCATAAAGCCAGCAGGAGAAGCCTCCTGGCCCAGTCACATAGGACCACGTGGAGGGCGAGATATAAAGGAAGAGGAAGAAGGGCCATTTCAAGGAAGAAACAGCTTCTAAGTGGGTAACCCTAAAAAAGGGGAAGTGGGCAGTCTAGTCCTGACCTGCTCGAAGTCGAGGCAGCCGGTGTCGGATGGTCCTGAGTACCCGGCCTACCACTTGTCCTTCCATCTCTGGGCCTTCAGGGCAGGGAGGACTCCCCTCTCCCCCAACACAGACTGGCTATGCAAAGCCTGAGTAGGAGGCTGCTGCTTCAGTCTCCAGCCACAATGCTATGAAGCCAAGTGACATGCGGTCTTCCAAAGAGGGCAGAGCAGTTTCCATCCTATGCACCCAGTGATTGAGCAAGAAGGATGTGACAGGACCCAGGAAGGCAGCAGAAGCCAGCACTGACAAAGGCAGCATCCTGGCACTGCAGCACAGAGCTCAGCTCCTCCCAAGAGCCCCAGGGTGTGGCGAGAGAAAAGCAAACACCTCCAAGGCCCGGCTGTTTCTGGGCTAAGGGCTTTGAATTCTGGGCTGGCTGCAGATTGTGCAAGGAGTTTGTTTACAATCTTAGGACAGAGAGGAATGCTCGATAGTATCAGACTATGGGCACTGGAACCTCTTCGGTCTCAGAAGGAGGATCCTATACTCCCGTAACTTTGATTGCTGATTTTCCACTTCTCAACTTGGTCACCAGCAGCCAACCCCCCCACCACACACACACACAGGGCCACTCACTGCATTCTAGAACTTCTAGGACCTCAGGACCCTAACCAAGAGCACAGGAACAAACACTTCCTGAAACCAAGATGCCGCTGCCCTCGCTGTTTAAGATAAACAGGCATGGCTCAGTAATTATCCAAATAGATTAATTCTTCAAGCAAGAGATAAGAATCCTAGAAATCAATATGGACCCAAAAGCCTCCTCTGCTGACAGTAAAATAGAGAGCAAAGTCCATCTCTAAGCTGAGACTTTCTGATATTTCAGAAATATTTACAATCCTGCTCTAAAGCAGAGAGTTTTGTCTCCATCACTGTGTTCCAGCAGAGTCCCTCTTCCCAATAGGAAGCACTGATTCAGAAGATTGTCCTTGGCCTAGGATGAGAGACTAGGTATGCCAGCAGCCTGAAGTTCATTCAGTGGCAATGGAAAGCAATCAACATCACTCAGCATCCCCACTGTTGGGCCAGAGCAGTGATTCTGCCCAAGATACAGGCAGAGCTGCTAACTCGCTGCTGTGTCTGGAGACTGGGGAACAGAGAAAGAACAGCAACCAATCACCCTGGATTCCCACAGAAACCTCTGAATGAGTAAAGGCAAAGGAGAAGAGGAAAAGACCTTTGCAGGAAGCTGCCTCAAAAAGGAGGCAGGAGGCAAAAGGGTTTGGGGGTCAGTGTCTGCCACTCCTACAAAGAATGAGCAGACCTCTGGAAGAGAGAGGGGGTCTGGGCTAGAGGAGACAGCTCTTTTACTCCTAAGAGCTCTAGACCTAGATTTTGTGGAACTAGTAAAGGTCAGGACTCATGGACAGCCCAGGGATGACTCCTGGGGGAAGCCCCAATCACAGTCAATGAGGAAGTTCCAAATGCTGAAATGTGTGAAAAGAGTGAACCAGAACACTCAGAACCATCACCACACCTTCTTTGTAACCAACACAGACTTGTTGTATAATCTTCGCTGCCCGTCTGAGGAACAAGCATCTTCCTGATATATATATATATATATATATGGGGAAACTGAGGCATGCGGTAATTCAGGAGCTATTTAAAATTAACAGTATCCTTTGGGTAGGGATTATGAAAGCTCCATGTCCATGCTCCTGACTTCTGGGTGTATTCCACATAAACATCCCACTGAGGTTTGCAAAGGACTATGAGAAACAGAATCTTCTCACTTATCATTCCAGAACCTCAGGAAATCATGATTTCCTTAAATCCTCTCACCTGCATTTTCAGTTCATTTTCTCTTGTTTTGTTAGGAGAATCAAGAGTATAGAAAATCTCATATACTCTTGACCAAAAAAAAAAAAAAAATAGTAACTAGACTTTTGGAACAAAGCGAAAGAAATTTAGCAAGACTATTTTCTCCCCTCACCTCAACCTCAGTTCAAAAGTTCTCAATAGAAAAGAAAAGCATGGCTCGGCGCCTGTGGCTCAAGCGGCTAAGGCGCCAGCCACATGCACCTAAGGTGGCGGGTTGGAATCCAGCCTGGACCCGCCAAACAACAATAATGGCTGCAACCAAGCCAGGCGTTGTGGCGGGCGTCTGTGGTCCCAGCTACTTGGGAGACTGAGGCAGCAGACTCGCTTGAGCCCAAGAGTTGGAGGTTGCTGTGAGCAGTGAAGCCATGGCACTCTACCCAGGGGCTCAGCTAGAGGCTTGGTCTCAAAAAAAAAAAGAAAACAAAAGCATAAGGCACGCTAACATCCATCAAACTCATACATTAGCTGTAAGTCATCTCATTTAATCCCCAGTGCCCTAGAAAGGAATTATTATCCTGAATTTTAGTTAAGGCGGGAGCCACCCTTTCCAGGGAAGGCAGGAGTCTGGTTACACTTGTTCCTCCCCCAGGAAGCTCCTCCCTCAGCCACCTAACTGAAGTCCCAGAACCATCAGATAGATCTAGAATATAGGTGAGGAGACCTTCGGGAATGTTGACTTGGGAAGCCGGCTCTTCCTTTTCCAGCTCAGCTGCTCTCGATCCAGGACCACAACATCACCGCCCCACCCCACCAGGATAATTAATTCTCTCTCTTTCTCTTTCTCTCTTACCCCCTTTCCAGGGCACAACGTTCCTGGAACCAGAAAGGCAAAAGAAAGAGGGGAAAGTCCCCAGGAAGGTGGAGGGTGGTATGGAAAATGAAGAGCACCTGACAGGTGCTAGAGCTCAGGGTTCCTCAATGCCAAAAAGCTCCTCCGGGCACAATCATCAGTCCCATGTGGGTGGAAACAACTGGAATGTCTCCTCTAGGCCATACAGAACAGACCCCTTCCATTCACACAGACTTATCAGGGTCTGGGAAGCCCGGGAAAGCCCAGGCCAGTGCTCTCCAGAGAAGCCAGAATGCCTTCTGTTCCAGCCACTGTGCAGCCCCAGGCCACTGCTCCAGCCCCTGGTCTCTGACCTCCGCCCATGATATATGGGGAATGGCCAGAGATTGGAGATCAATATTTAGGGAGAACACAGCAAGAGGTAGGGAAAGAGTAGTGAGTGACAAAAGGAATGGGAATGAGACAAAACGCAGATCACTCAGATGTCACTGCAGTTTAGAGAAGAAAGCACAGATCTTACCCTCTGGGATCTCCCACCTCTGGGGATTGAAGGAGAGGGGCTCACTGGGATTTTTGACTCACCAGTATTGGAAGGGGTGAGCTACCTGGGAAGGACCCCTGCTCACTTTCTAATTCTCCCTTTTCTCAGAAGGTGGAACCTCCAGGTAAAGTATCTCTGGGCCGTGGCTGCTGAGCCAGAAGACTAGCTAGCGGGAAGCAGCAACAAAAACTGGTTAAATGGGGCGGGGCCTGCGGCTCAAGGAGTAGGGCGCAGGCCCCATATGCTGCAGGTGGTGGGTTCTAATCCAGCCCCAGCCCAAAACTGCAACAACAACAACAAAAAAAAGCTGGTTGAATAAATGAATGACTTCCCCATTTCACTGACTGGGTTGACTTACCAGGTCACACACTCTAAAGTTGAGCAGGCTGTATCCCAGCTCTGCCCAAGGCCACCCACGAAAGCACTCTCTACAGGGTACCCAGCTGCCCCTAATAGGAGTGGTAAGGTCGCAGTCAGGAGACCAGATTCTGTAGCCGCTGGCTATCTGCTGGGCAGAAGTAAGGGCAAGGGCAGGGGTGCTGACTCCCAGGAAGTGGACAACGGCCTGAGCCAAGTCCTGGGCTGCGAGGCGAGGCAGGGCTGCAGACAAACGCCAGCTGAGGCAGTGCCTCCTGGAGGGCTCAGGGCGTGCGGTTGCACCACAGCTTCCTGGATAGAAGGACACGTGGCCCCGGGGCCCCACAACGGTTTCCTTTGACCCGTCGCCTCCCCCTCGCCCCTGCAGAAGTGGCCACCTCTCAGTTCTCTGCCCTCGCTCTTTCTGACACTTCACCTCTACCCTGCACTCTCTCTGTGTCGCCTGATCACCGCCCGCGCAGCCCTCTTGAATCTCCCCTCCAACAGCTCCCGATCCCACCCCCGTGCCGCCCTCCCCTGGCCCCGCACCACCGCCAGCCCCTAGTCACCGCTCCCCAGTGCCCGCACTGTCCCCGCGCCCTAGCCCTGGCGCGCCCGGCCGGACTAACCCCCATGGCCGCGCTTCAGTCTCAGGCTGGCTCGAAGGCGGCGGCCGAGCCCGTCCATGGCCCCTGGATGCCCGGCACCCACTCCAAGGTTCGTGCCGGCCCCGCCCCCCAATCCTTGACCTCCGTGGTCTCGGCACTTTCACTTTCATGCGGGGGGAGAGCGAGGGGACAGGTTCGGGGCGGGGCGGCGTACCTTCCGGGCTCCAGCCCAACCCACGGCGCACCTGGGCGGGCCCGCTCTTCCCTCAGCCCTCTGCTGGGCGGCGCGGGGTGACTGAGGGCGCCCGACTCGCGTCCGGGAGGGGGCGGCGCCACTTCGCTCCCAACCTCCGTGGGGCGCCCGAGAAGCTCGACTTTCTAAACCGCAGAGTCCGCAAACACGCTTGTCGTGACCGAAGTCACCCCCTTCCGCGCAGCTGCTGACTAACCCAGAAGGGGAGTTTTCAGAGTCCTCAGACCTGTTCAATCCCTCTACCCCCTTCTTCTGCAACTGTTTTAGCCTCTTGGTCATCTCCAGGTCTCTTGCTATATTCGTCCACTCACCGTCCAGGATTCTGAAGAGAGACGGGAGATATGGATTAGGGTCCGAACTCTGCCTTCCATCGAATCTTGTCCTTGGGCAGATCAGCAAAATGGGGTAATCCTTGCCCTGCCATCCCACAGAGATGTGAAGTTAAGGGGTGGACAGCTTATCCTAAGCTGTTTTGTGATGCAAATTTAAGGGACTATTCATCATCATTGCAGCTACCCCCACGCACCTTCTAATCCCAAGTCCCTGTGAACCCTCTCGTCTCCTTCTCCCTCTTCTCATCTTCATTGACTTCCAAACATGCCCAGACTTTAGGACTTCAATTATCAACCATGAAATGTGGGGTCTGCTGAGCTCACTTGCTCCCAGGTGATCTGCCCTTTCCCTTCCAGCACATATATCTGTAAGGGTAGGAAGTGCAGAGTCCATCTGAAGTTTTGCTCTTCACTCAGGTTTTAGTCTAAATTTAGAGATGGCAGGCAGAGAGAGGAAGAGACTCTGGGAGAAATAAGTGTCAGATCTGTGGACCCCCGGAACTACAGCCCTCTTTCCTCTGCCTCTGCGTGGCTTCCTAGTGACACTCTAGTCTCAGAATATGGGTGAGCAGGAGCTGAGAAAACAGCCCTAGTATTAAATGTCTAGTCATAGCCCAGAGGTTCTAAAAGTTGACTTCGTAAGGGCGTATTCAGGTTTGCACTTAATTACACAGTCTGTTTCTGTTCCCATTCTCTGTGTATTCTGACACCAACGACGCATCTTCCCCAGTACCTTTTCCTGACTGGACTCTGTCTTATGCCTCTCTGTGTGAGAACAGTAGTTATTCATGATAAATTTGTGTAATCGGTTGAATAATATTGTACCTTAATTTTCCCAACCTGTTTTGTGTTATTCCCAACCAAATGACTTCTTCTCTTTAAAAACAAACGGAGAGACCTCCTGGTGCTTACCGAAGGCTGTGTTCTTACACTGACTATATAGAAAGAAGAGGCAGAGTAAACCTATCCTAGGTACACCCCAGCCCAGCTTGGGGAAACAGAGTGAGATGCTGTCTAAATAAATAAATACATACATAAATAAACTTTTTAAAGTATTCATTAGACTGTTAGGATGACATTAATGGAGGTAGTAAAGCAGAGGTGGGAGCTAGTTGAGAAAGACATGAGAAATTATTGGGACGTAGGAAGGTGAAGTTAAGCGTAATCTACACTTTTGAGAAGTATGGATAACAATATGAAAAGATTAATTAGATGAGTTAACATGGGAGAATTAGAGCATTTCATAGGTATAGAGACAGGAGCCATCAACGGAGGAATTTAAAGTACAAGAGAATATACCAATGGAACAAGGAAGGTCTGAGAGAAGAGGGATGAGAGGGCAAGGAGAGGCTTAGATAGAAGTTTGGCTTTAAATGAGAAAAGAACTTTATTTGAGGGGGGAGGAGAAGAGATGAGAATGGATGTAGATGAGGAAGTAGGAAGTTAAAGGACACCACAAGGGACCTTAGTTTCTGCCAAGAGAAAAGGTCTTTTTTTTTTGAAAGAGAAAAGGTCTTTTTTTTCTAATAGCTGCTATATCTCACTATCCCTTGGATAGTTCCCCAGTCTGGCTGTGGGATGGAAGAAAATGACCCCAGCCTTCCTTTTTTGAAGATCTTGACAGGAAGTAGGCAAATAAGTTGCATTCAGGGAGGCAGCAGGGTGAGCATGGACCTGAGCCCACTCTGCTCTTGCTTTCGCTGTAGCCTTGGGGAAGACATTGCTCTGAGCCTTCCTCTGCTGCAGTATTAATAATGAAATCAACTTGCAGGGCAGTTATGAAGGTCAGAAGAAATGTATTTGCAACCAATTTCCAAACTTTACACATAGCTTTAATCCTCAAATTGCTGTAGTCTCACCCCATCTCTCTTCATTACAGGAAGTACTGTCTTTTTTCCAGGCTCCTATCTCAAAGTATTTCTGAGAAAACTCAAGAAACACATGCTCCAAAGGTCAATACTGCTACTTACTTGTCATCAGAGTCTACCACAAAGATCCAAATTATTACTTTCTCCTTCTGCAGTAATACATTTGTCTCAAGATAGACCATTTTGCCTAACTTGAACATTGACTGTGTCTTCAATACCATGCAGAAAATACCTAAGATCAAGAATAGTTTTGTTAAGACTTTGCTGAAGGTTTGTTAAGACTTTTCTTTGTGATAAGTGCTCTTCTTCAAGAACTTGAAGACAAAGTATCACTGCTCTTGGGGTCTCCCAGGGTCCTCTTCTGGGCAATTTTCTGTTTACTCTGGGGGTCGCCATCATGTAGCAGGGAACAGCTGACCCAACTCCAGAGGGAATGCTTCAATATTCACATATTCGGGAATGATTGACAATGGCAAAGTTTATTATGTTCGGGGGACCCCTGCCCCATGCATAGAATCTGATATTATCCTTTGACTCAAAGACAGTAGAACAACAACAAAACAATCTCTCTTCCCCCCAAGAACTGGTACAAAATAACACCACGAGTAGCCCCGTACAATTCCTCCTTCTCTTGAGATCAACAGAAACTCAAGCCATTGCAAGATATGTTTCTGTCAAGCCATCTGAAGTGTTGGCTTCTATCTCCAGTGAGAAATGGGTTGAATAATAGCCTACACATCTTCCGGGAATAAGCCATGATATCTGAAGAAAGATAGGATGAAGAAAGAACATCTGAATACTGGAAATAATGATGACCTTTTACATTTCCACAAGTTCGAGCTAGTGTTCTCAGATATCTCTCTTCTGGAAAGAGTCTTTGTTCTACACCTGATAACCAAAAATCCACTGGGGTGGTCCTCCTTGAAGTGCCTGTGGGATAGATCTGTGCTTTTGTGTTCTCTGGCCTCACCTTAGCAACTTTGTGCCTCTTTATATTATCCTTCTTTCCATTCTTCCAAAGTGCCAAGATCTTTTCAATCTCAACATTTTGTACATGCTGATCCCTCTATTTGAAACATTCTTCCCATTCCTTAACCCACTAACTTTTGTTCCTTCTTTATGTATTTCTTAAATGACCTTTTCTGAGAAGACTTTCTTGACCCCCTTTCCCTTAAACCAGATCCTCCTGTTACAACCTTAAATCACACCATTTCCTTTGATTCCTTAAAAACATTTATAACAAGGGCCAGGCACAGTGGCTCACACCTGTAATCCTAGCATCCTGGAGGCCAAGGCAGGTAGATCTTGAGCTCAGGAGTTTGAGACCAGCCTGAGCAAAAGCAAGACCCTGTTGCTAAAGAAATAGCTGGGCGTTGTGGTGGGCCCCTGTAGTCCCAGCTACTCAGGAGGCTGAGGCACTAGGATCACTTGAGCCCCAAAATTTGAGGTTACTGTGACCTATAATGCCATGGCACTCCACCAAGGTCACAAAAAAAATTGTAATAGTTTGTAGCTTTATATATATGTATAGACTTTTGGAATTATTTATTCAATTGGTCTCTCCCTTTCTAGAGCTATTTCCAAGGAGACATAGATCATGTTTCTTTTGCTCACTTCTATACCCCCATTGCCAGGCACATATTAAATAATCAGTAATTTTTTTCTTTAATGAATGAATGGATAAATGAACATTTATGTAGTCTGCCATAAGCGTCTATGTGTAAGGAGACAGAAAATTAATTGAAATATTTTTCATCTTGTAGTTTCTACTCTGGATGAACTCTTTTGTTGCCTAATACTCACTTTCCCTTTTATTCTTGCTAGCAAAGTCTTTGCTCAGAGGTGTATCAGATGGGTAGAACCCGACCACCGTAGCCCCAGTCTCCTTCCTTGCGACTGACTTATGCTAGGCTTGTGCTCCAGCTCTGGCCTATGGGAGGTAAAGAAATGCTTATTCTAGTGAAAGAGGCAAGGGGAGATCTGCCGAGGACTTCTGGAATAGGTTTCTCCAGAAAAGTTAATGTTTTCTGCTTCTAGGCATCAATAGGTTTGGATATGATGACAGGAATTGCAGAAATGAAGCCAAAACATCCAGTTGAACAAGGTGAACATTTCTTTCAGGGAAATAGGGTAGGAGCCAGAGATGGCTCACAGGCCTGGAATTGCCTCTGCTCTGCCTTGCTCGTTGCCTTAGGTAATAACTCTCATATGGCTTAGGTCAGTGAACTTTCTGAATACACTTTATGTGGCATTCCAGCATAGTAGATACCCACACATGTAATGTACAAAGAAAACAAAAATTTCACAAAGCTAAACCACTCCTATGTGCAAGGTATACTGATATTTCTCCTTTTTCTTCCATTCTACTATTGCATTTTTTAAAAAATATATGTTTGTTCAAGGCACTCTAAGATGATTTTGCTCCCTGCAAAGAGCTGTGACCTATAGTTAAAAACATTTTGGGGCTTTCTGTAGATTCTGGAGCCAGAATACCTGAGCTGATAGTTTTGTTACATCAGACAAGTTTCTTAACCTATGATTCAGTTTTCTTATATTTGATGGGGTTAATAATAATATCTCTTTTACAGGGTTCTTTCAAGGATTCAATTAGCTCATATATGTAAAGCACTTAGAAAGCGAAGCCATTGAGAAGTCTGAACAGAAGACTGACATTATCCTACAAAGATGAGCAAGGCATGGTCCTCATTGTCACACAGCTTACATTCTTGTGAGAAAGATATAATACAGAGATACTGGGATAAAGATAAACACAGATTAGTCCAGAATCATGAAGAAGAAATGTGCATTA